TCCTAGTAGTAAGGCCAGGAGCCCCTAGTAGCGATGCCAGGAGCCCCAAGTAGCGTCCTTGCTCCTAGTAGCGATGCCAGGAGCCCGTAGTAGCGTCCTTGCTCCCAGTAGCGATGCCAGGAGCCCCTAGTAGCGTCCTTGCTCCCAGTAGCGATGCCAGGAGCCCCTAGTAGCGTCCTTGCTCCTACGTAGTAGCGATGCCAGGAGCCTCTAGTAGCGAACCTTGTTCCTAGTCGCTTCTTCCTGTGAAAAGGAGTCCGGCGAGCAACGACCTTTTCTCCGCATCAAAGCAATGGAGCCGAGCGAGGCAGAGCGCCATACATAGCATGGCCATAGCAGCCCTGAAGCAAGACTGGTCATTCAAATCACCTTACCAGTCACCCCAAGGGGCTGGACCTGTGTATCTTGCATACACAAAACTATTTGGCTCAATCCCATTTTGTGCGAACGTTTTCTTCAAATCCACCTTCTTTCCACCCTTCAAGGTGAACTCGATCTCCTTGCCATCCCGAAGGTTTTCGCGAAAACTTGCATGAAGCTCATCGGTTGAGTTGGCCCCAAAGTCATCCATCTCAAAGGAAAACGGGTACTCCTGTCCTAGTAGCAAGCAGGTCACATAGGCCTCTTTTGCATTGCGACCGACCCGAGGCTTTTTCTTGGGGTCTTCTCCGCGCAGTTCTGCGTTTTCCTTCTTGAGCTTGGCAATTTCGCGCTCCAACGATGCGATAGAGGCAGCAGGACGCTTCTTGGACATGTGTTTAAAATGGCATTAACTGCAACCCTACAGTAAGAGACTTGAGCCAAACTTATTTTATTAGATTTCCATATTTCACTCAGCCTGCAAAGGATTTCAAGCATGCTTGAAGGGGATAAATGTTATCACATGTTCAGCCAGCCATGGATTGTTCTTGGGCTTTGCTGAATGGGTGGGCGATGGCATCACAAAGACTCACTCACGAGTGGGTCTTATTCTTCTCCATTCATTATTCGTTGTGCAAAATCAGTCCTTATCCTCATCCTTAGCCTCATCTTGGTCAGTCATCAACGAAGCTTCCAAGGCTGCAGTGTATGCCTTCACGTCCGCTTGCTTTTGGGGCCTCAGAGTGTGCTCACGTGCAATGTTTTTCTATATATGTATTTGCCCGACTGGTCATCAACATGTCGACATGTGCTTTCGGTCACCTGCTCCCATTCCTCTCCCGGGACCACCATGTTCCATCTTAATGTGTGACTCACAAGCAGCGCACAAGACAGAGGAGATGCCTTGCGGATAATTAGGTGTGTATGATTGTTCTCAGTTTCTTCTGAGGGTGGGGGCATCGCCTAGTGTCTGTCCACATCTTTCCCTTTCCAGATCTGCCGGCAGAGCCGCCAAGGAAAGCTGGCAAGGTACCAGAATGCCTCGGGCCAACCCGTGCAAGCGCCAACCAAACTGTTGCCTGGCGAGACAAAGAAGAGACTCGGCTGGGCTGGAAAGGAACCCAAAGCAGTGCGTCCCAGTCATGAAAGACTCGACGAGAGCAACGCGAGTGCTCCCATCCCCCGGCACTCACTGGCCATCGCAAAAACCCAAGAACATACACACAGACACCCTTACTCACGCTTACTCATCCAACAATCCTCACGTTCGCCCACCAGACCCCCACCTCTCCGCGCCGCGGGTTCCCCGCGCCTGTGACGGCATCCACCTCTCCATTTTGTCGCTGCGACCTCTCCAGTGCGTCCAGTGCCCAACGCCAGTGGCGCTGTTGGCCACAGGAGGCCAAGATTGCGTTCTGCGCCCCAGCGATGTGGCCGAAGCTCAAGGACCGTTGCCTCAGACAAGCAATCAGGTCGGTTTCGAGCACCGGACACGGAAATCGGAGGTGAGTGGACACGGAAATAGGAGGAGAGGACCTGTTTCTTTTGAAACGCTGAGCATTTTGAGGACCTAAACCCGGTTGAAGCACTGGGTAGCGCCGCTTTTTCTAGCTGCCGACTATTGAAAAGTTGCTCAAGAAAACACTACATACAAATCACGACAGTGAATACTTAGAACATCTTAGAACCCGAAATGTGTTCCAACCTGAAAATTTGGCTTGGGAACCTGTCCCACCAAATAAGACCTATATATATATTATATCTATATAGCTCTGGGTCATGGCACTCACTCACCTGGAGCGAAGTCACTCACCTACCCTAGTAGCATTGACCTCCTCCACCAGGTCGGTCGGACCCACCGTGACCGAGCCGCCAGGGCGTCCCGGCGCTGATCACCGCGGAGGCGCCGTAGCGGTTCACCGCGGTGGAGGCGAGCCACGCGAGGGCCTGGGGAGCGAGTGGAGCGAGTGGCTTGAGTGGCGACACGAGGACACGAGACAGGCCATGGATGACGGCCAGATGTGTTGGGTTGAAAAGGGGTCCAGGCATTTGTAGATTCTACTCTTTTTTTTTGTTGGAACATCCGATGGGTGTCCGAGATTCCTAAGTAGTGGGAGGGTACTCTCCCGCCAGGGGACCCAAATACTCGGATGGTCCTGGTAGGCATGACCGGCACTGGTGATGTGATCTCGCCACGGGGGGCAGTCAACAGTCGGATCAACTGATGGTGGCTGAAGTGATCGCAGTGTGAAGTAGCTCGATCTGCGTGGGAGTCGGTATGAGTCGGTATTCTCTGGGTGTCTGTGGCATCTCTGGGTCATGGTCTGCTTAAAGGCTGTTCGAGTCCAAAGGCTTCGGTAGAGTGCGTACTTCTCCTGAGTTGGTCAATCACACCATGAGCGTCCTTCCACTGCGCCGGGCGCACGGCGCCTGAGTCCACTCCTGGCCCTTCCCCAAGGCGTTGGTCACAGCAGAGAGCATGGCGAGGTCTGGGAGCAGTTGCTGTCCGCGGAGAGCCTGAGAGGCGCGAGGGTGTGCCGGTGCCATGCGAGACAGTGCAGGACAAGGGGGGGGACAGTGTGGGACAGGTGATCCTCTTCTGTAGACTCTTGATTTTCAACAAGCTTATGAGGAGGTTTTACAATCTCAATTCGGGGATTCGATGAGTCAAGAGTCTAGCTTAGGGGTAGTTTATGTATAAAAACCCTTGGTTTTGGGCATGTGCTCAAAAACGGGGGAGTCTTTTTAGGATTCACCAGCTTAGGTCGATCGCGGGCTGGCTGGTAGGAGCCTGGAACATGCGCCCTGGATGAGACCAACATGCATGGAACCTGCAAAAACCACCGGCCCGTCTGGTCCATGCCATCGGGTTCCACGTGGGTCTCTGCCCCCACTGTACTCAGAAGAACGCTGGTTCGACGTCGGTTTGATCGGAGCTTTCTTCCTGGTGATGGGCCGCCCTGAACGCCCTGAAGTCGGTGATGTTCATCTTCCGAGTCCATAGTAATATATTTGCATCTCTGTGGATATATAGGGGGATACCATGACCCCTGTGATTTTATAGAGGATATATCCACCATGATATATTTGCTACTGGCAGTAATGACCTTGTTACTACTAGCGATGCCCTTGTTACATACATAGTGTTCTGCCCTTTGCAAGCTTGTCTCCCGGAGTTTCAAGCCCTAAAGCTTTCCACAGCAAGCGGCATCTAGACAAAGCAATGCCTGCTGCCACTGTCCTGCCTTTGCACAACCACTCATGGTCGCACTATAGGCTACTACATCTGCTTCAAGTTGTTGATCCTGCAGTCCTAGGTGAGCAAATCAGTTTGATCGGCTGAATCCAGTTTGCTAACATGTGGATCATTGTGGAATTCCGCCTGCTGCCATCGACCAAGGAAGGTCCAATTTTGCAAAAAGTGTCTCGCGACCCGACAAATATCCCAAATATCAGCCCCTGATAGCCTGATGTTCTATCAGCCCCTTGAAAATGATGATCGACCTCTTTGTTTCTCGCGACCAGAACCTATCAATTGATATGGTCGACCGATCCGATCTTGAGAAGCGACCGGTGCCTTAAGGCCCCGACCATGCTGGTCCATTTTTGGAGGATGCCGACCGGTGTATGTATGTGTGTTTTGTTTCTGTGTGGGTTCCTGCCCTCCGAACAAGTGGTCGCCGACCGATCCAAATCCAAGACCTCTGGAAACAGGTGAAACACATCCTCTTCACTTCTTCAGGACTCCTCAAATAGACATGTTCAGGTCACGGTCCGAGGCCTTGTCAGCTTCGTTCCGGTTTGGAGCTCCAAACACGGCCTCCACTCTTGGGAAGACGTGTGGATTGGCTCATGTTTTGTGTTTTTTGGACATACATGAGTAATCCACACGTTTTATGGCAAAGCTCAAAATCTCTCCAGGATTCGTGCAATGAGGAATATCGCCTGCTGCCATTGCTGCCCCTTTCCACAGGCGCTGATCGCGGCGCTATAGATCCTCCGGCATCTGGCGAACGACAAAAAAGAAAACGACCAAACAAGTAGGGCCTAGTAGGGGCCATCATCACGGTGTCATCCACTTCCCTGTAACCTGGAGATCTTTTACTTGGATGAACGTGTTCACCCCAAAAACCACGTGCTGCACCTCCACGTGTTTGCACATCCGCGTAGCGGGGTCATAGGGACCTCCCTCTTTTGGGAGTTGGAAGATGTTCTCCTCTCCAGCTGGCACCTGTCATAAAGACAATTCAGCAGTGGTGAATGGTCATGTATGGTTGTATACCTCCGGGAACGAAACCTGCATTCACAGCGCGGAGTTCCGAGTTCGCGGACGGACCACACTCGCCCCCTCGACTCTGAATTCCATCTTCAGAACCCCTGTCCGGCGCTAGACTCCGCTAGACTCTATGACAAGGATCCACAAATCAGCTTCTTGTTCTCTCTGCTCTAGCTGCTCCAAGAGCTGCAAGGCACAGGGCCATTGTTGCGCTTTGGCACACGCGGTGAGACTCAAGCTCCACCTGGCCGTCCCAACAGTTCGACGAAAAAAGAAGAAGAAGGCTGCTCCAACTGCTGGGCTTGATTGGGCTTGGCCTCAGTTACTTAACATGTCGCCTCCCCCACCACTTAGAGGAAACATAAAACGCTTGGCTCGAATCCCGAAAAGTGATTGAAACATGCGATCGCTAACAGCACTTAATTAGGATGTGAACTATGAGTCTTGAGGAGGGTATTGTATGCGTCAATCATTGTCGTGGATACCAAGCCTCACGAGGATCAGCTCAGCAAAACAGCTGGTAGAAAAAAATCAGAACCACCAACCAAATCACTCAGTGTCATCTCCACTCCGCTCCCCTGTAGCCTTTCCTTGAATGGCCTTTTCCCAACTGTCTTGCCATCTTCAGCAGAGAGACGTAATCAAATCGCTCTGGACTCTCTTCTTCTCCATGGACTCTAGAACCGCGAGCACTTGCTTCCACACCGCGGCGCGGGAGCATGCACTCATCAAGGTGTTGTAGACCTGGGAGGGAGGGACCTGAGACCTGAGACCTTGGACGGTGGTAGCGGTGGCCTGGGGAGCTTGGGAGGCTCCAAAGATACAGAAGTCTTCCAGAAGATCGGCGATCGGATGACCTTGGAAACCAAGGTGGGAATCTGAGGAATTTGGAAAAGGTGAGACCATTGGGTGGAGAAAGGGCTGTTTGGGCTGTTGGGTCAAGTGATCCAGCAATGGAGCCGGAGCAAGGGAAACTGGTTCGGGGACCAAGGACCACGTAAAAATGGTTGACCTGGTGTTGTAGTGGAAAAAAATCCGTCCTAAAACAGCGGTAAATATATCTATGGTGGACCAGGAAGCCTGCAAATCGATCTTAAAATCCGAACATCCAGGAAGGC